CCAGCTCCCGGTTCCCAGGTCCCGGCTCCGGGGATCCCGTTCCAGGCTCCCGGTTCCCGGTTCCCCGTTCCTTTCACCATTGTTCCATATAGGCCAAGGCGGCCATGCTGATAAATCCAACACAATATGATTCAATCATGAAAAGGAGCAAGAGGAGGAGGAGGAGGAGGAGGAGGAGGAGTGAACGTCCCTCGAGAAGAGTCCCAGTCACTTACCCGACTCGCAATCGCTGAATGGCGACTGCTCGAAATCGCGCGGCAGCCGAGACGGAAGTAAAATCGTGAGGGGTAGCGCCGATCTCTCCCTTCATGCCGTGATATATGTAGAAGGCGGGGGAGAGAGCGAACGACGCGAGCGAGTGAAAACTGACCCGCGTGCCACTCCTCGCCACCCAAGCCCAGTCGAACTAACACCTCCGAACTCATTGGCACCTGCGGGTCAGCCACAAGCTCAAGAAACTTGTCACAAACTAAATAATGTTGCGCACTGTCTACGCAGCTTGGGCATCCCAGCAGGCAAGCGTAAGAACCAGGAGCGACATGCATTCGATTACTGGCGGTCCACGCTCTACTAAGAGTTTTCAGGACACACCAGGCAACAGCGGGTTTACATTTGCTGAGGTACGAGCGGAGGAAGAACAAACCGGAGGAAAGGCCAGGGGAAATAGCAAGGTCGGGATACCATTTACTCAAACGTTTGCGAATCGCGTCAGCAAGCTGCTCGGGATACAACTGCTGAGTAAGTGCAACACAAACGGCACGCTGCACCTCGGGCCCCCCCCCCGCCTCCGCCCGCGCGACCTCCGCCCGCCCCATGCGTGCAGCAGTGCGCAGCACGCTCGCAGAAACAGTGCTTGACCTGGAAAAACAGATCGGCTTGCACAGACAGCTATCTTCGAATCGCTGCACACTTGCTCTCTGTTCACGCCACCAAGCAGGCGACCAGTGCTGAACAGCAAACGAAGGAAGCGGGGCGACACTTTCGGCAGCCTCTCGCACACTATGAAAATGCACTCACCATCCCGACAAAGTCGTAGTGCACGTGCGTCACATGGAGGCAAGAGAGAGCGGCAAGATGGCGGTGAGCCCTCCTCCTCTGCACCAAGCCTTCAGGGACAAAAGATCTGAGCGCTTCGTGGCATTTGACGGGAGCATGTACAACTTATGCAATCCATGAGTACCTCTTTGCAGCAGCCTCGGGATGGGCAGGAACAACTCAAAGTGGGAAGGATAGCAGAAGCGTGCAGAAGCGTGAGAGCAGAAGGGGGGGCACGAGTGAGGCTGGCAAGATGAATGCGCGTCCACCATTTCTCAGACGGAGCTTTCCACTGCAAGTCTGCGGTCGCTCCTGGGCCGAGCCCAACCCCCAAATATTTCGCCGCGTCCGGCGCCTGGAACGCGCGCCGCCCGCCACGGGCCCCCTCGAGATCACGGCGGGTTCGGCGCTGCACCTCTGGCGAAAACGGGGCCCACAACGGGGCAGCAACGCAGTTGGCGGGCTGAAGCGCGAAGCCAGCGAGCTTTTCAGCGAGGCTAAAAGTCTCCACAAACATGATGAACTGCGATGCGCACAGTAGAAGCAGGCCGATGTCGTCTGCACAAGCTCGCGCCGCGCCATGATCGAGCGCGGGGAAAGGCCGCTGCAGATGGCGAAGCAGCGGATCCACGCACATCGCCCAGAGACTGCCAGACAAGGGGCGGCCTCGCAGCGCGCCGCTGGCGAGCTCGCACGTAGGAGCGAGTGGCCCACCCCCGGACCTCGCGATGGCAATCGGAGCATTATAGGGTGCTTTTCTGACACAAAGAACACAGAGCGGCACGCCGTAATGGGCCAAGGAAAGCTCCAGCCAGCGGCGGTTCAGGCTAGGAAACGCTGCCTTACAGTCGAAAGAGAAGAGTAGCGGGCGTTTGCTCGAGCCGCCCTCAAGCCAGCCAGCGCGCCTCGCCTCCGCGTCTAGCAAGGGTATGTTGCCAGCGAAGTTGCGACCAGTGTTATGCCCTTGCTGACTCTGATGCAGTCGTTGCTCTACATGTGGTTTCAAAGTGAAATTGGCTGCTGAGCTGATCGCTTCCACATCGCTGTTTTTGAAACTCGACGGGCAGAGGTCCCGGCTCCGCCGAATTGTCCGAACCGCGCTCAGCTCGCCCACCCCTTCCGGGAGAACAGGGAACAGTGAATGATGAGATTCGTCTGGTAAGATGCCGCCTGAGTAGACATGCGCAAGAACGCGATGCAAGATAGACGCGGCGAGGGAGTGGGAGAGCCAGGCAGAGTAGGGAAAACGACGGGGACCGGGAGCACTTGGCTTCGCACGCTGCAGCGCCGACGCCAGTGCTCCACACTGGGCGCGGGAGCGTCAAAGGTAGGGGCAGGCGGAAAGACAGAATGCAGAAAGGCGAGGATGTCAGCATCACGCGACTCGCGAGCAGCAAAGATGGGTTGCCAGGGAGCTTGCACGGCGTTGAAAGCCCCCTGATCATCCATAACAGCTGCAACTCTTTCGCCACTGTCATCATGCACATGTGCGCGAACACCCTCTAAGCGGAGCTGGCGAGCCCAGGGCGTCCAGAGACGAGCTCTTCGCGCAGCCTTGCGCTCAATCTTGCGCTGGCACATATCATCCTTATGGCGACCAAACTCATCATGCTGCGAGACAATCATGCTAGCCTGCAAAGCGCGCCGCTGATACCACTCATCGTTAACTGCATCGCACTGCGTGTGAAAGGATGAAGGATCGAGGAGACTGACCTGGTCATCAACGACGACGAGGCGAGAAGCAGCAAGCGGAGCGGTGGCGACAAGGCGAGATGCGGCGCGCACATCGTTCCTCTAGAGAGCACGAGCCATGGACCGAAGCAGGCGCATGCGTGCGATCGGCGCTTCAGGATGCGCAGCGCGCAGATGCTCGGGGCCCTGGAGTTTGTCGCCAGTGGCCGCGGCAACTTCATACATGACCTCCTTCGCTCCCTGCCGCGCTGCGATGGCACCGGTTTGCTCGAAATCCGCGCGCGAGAGCGCGCCGGCGATAATCTGTTCAAGCTCCGCAGCGCGGGAAATATAGGAAGGGGCGGCACGCTCTCGTGGGGGTCGGGCGGTGGACTGGGAGAGCTTGAGCACGAGCGCAGCATGATCAGAGAGACCACGATCGGACATGCGTGCACATTCGTGCGCAACCTGTAACGCGGCGCCGACCAGCATCAGCTGAGACGGGCATCCAGAAATTCGCCGGCCCAACGGGCCAGGGCGTGCTAAGATCTCCGGTAACTGGTTAACAGCATTAACAGTATTTCTAGTTCGCGCGCGCGGGGCGGCCCCTGGGGGTCCCCCGGCGAAAAGTACCCCGACCAACGCCCGGTCGCCGCCCGACCGCCGCCCGACCGCCGCCCGACCAAGTCTACTCAGAGATGGTTTTCCTTCTGGGTGCGGCCTCTCAGGCTCCCCAGAGCGCGCTCAGAGTGCCCCAAGAGGCCCCCAAGACTGCCCAAGAGGCCCCCGAGACGCCCAAAGAGCGCTCGAAGACGCCGAAGATGACCCCAAGACGGCCCAAAAGGCCCCCAAGACAGCCCAAGAGGCCTCCAAGACGCCCCAAGAGCCTTCCAAGAGGCCTCCGAAGAGAGCCCCAAGAGGCCAAAATCGTTGATTTTCATTGGTTTTTTCGATGTTTTTTGTGTTCTGGCTTTTTCGGCTTCCGGACGCTCCAAGACGGCCCAAGAGGCCCCCAAGACCGCTCCAAGACGGCCCACGAAGCTCCCAAGACGGCGCCGAAACGACCCAAGAGAGCCCTCAAGACGGCCCAAGTGCCGCCCAAGACGGACCAAGAGGCCCCAAGACGGGCCCAAGAGGGACTCAGGAGGGATACCGAGAACTCAAAAATGGAGCCCTCCGTCCCAGAAGGCGCCCAGGAGGTCCCAAAGAGGCCCCAAGAGGCCTCCAAGAGGCCCCAAGATGTCGCCAAGAGGCCCCAGGAGACTCCCAGGAGGCCCAAAAGAAGCCCCAGAAGGCTTCAAACATGTCTCCCAGGCGCCCCCGAACGGCCTCTCAACAGACCCCAAGAGGCCCCCCAAAGAAGCATCTTGACGACGACTCTATTTCGCCCCATCGAGAGACGACCCCCAGGGAACTGCTTCACCATCAAAACTCCCCACGCAACGCGTCCGAACGACACCCGCCCCCAAGAGCGCAACATGGGCAACGAACACACAGACAAAAACCAGCGATGCCATATCACGGGCCGGCGGAATGAGCGAGGCGATTCAATAAAGACCCGATCGATGCAGGTCACCTGCAGCCGATGAGAATCGTACCGAGTGGGCAAATCATTGGTAATCTCTGCGACGGAGGCAAACATGCAACGCCGCCGAGCTCGCGCGCGCTGGCCACGCTTATCGAGAACAAGGAGAATCGGAGCAGGAGCCGAGCGCGGGGCCAGCGAAGAACGAAAGGAGCGGGAAGGGAATGCAGGGATGTTAAAGTCACCGAGAGCAGCGAACTCAAAAGCACGCTCATGCTGCGCTGCGAACGCGACTTGCTGAGACCAGAAACGTTCGATTTCATGCGACTCGAGAGCAGAAAGCTTATGATTGCGCACGTTCAAAATACACATGGAATGCTCGTGAGCAGGGGGCGAGACATGCAGGGCAGCAGCACGGCCAAGAACTATAGAGTGCAAAACGCAAGCCGGCCCCAGGTGCTCGGGGACCGGTCGATGAGACGGATGGCGCGGCACAAGAGACGCCACGCCAGCGAAGACACCTGTGGCTGACATGAAGCACTCATAAGTGTAGGGCGCGTCGTCCACGAGCCGCTGCAACCTGCCTAGATCCCCCCGGAACTCTTGATGGACAATAAGGAAGCGCTGCCGCATATAATCAGTCAAGATGCGCAGCTTGGCGTCGCGCTTCTTCGGGCCGAGACAAAGAAAAATCCGCGCGCTCCCGCAGATCGCGCGTGAGCCGCGTTCAGCGTCTCGGCGAAATGGCCCCCACGAAGCCCAGCCCATGTTACCCAGACCACTGAACCTCGGAAGCCGAGAAGGCAGCGTGGAAGGCCTCCTCGGTCGTCGCCGTGTCGATGTTGAACTGCGCTGTTGCAATGTTGCTCCACCTGATGCGAGTCGGCTCGTCCTGCCCTTGAGGCTCGAGCTGGCAGCAGGGCGCGCTGTTGACCAGCACCTGGTCCTGGGCGCGCCGACGCCGCCACGTGAGTGTAGGGTACTCTCCCCCAGCAGCTTCGACACGCGGCTGGATCGCACCTCGCCGCGGACCATCTTGGGGCTCTTGTCGGTCGAGACGTACATGGCGACAAGGGCGCCGTCGGTCGAGGAGACCTGGAACGCGTGCCATCCTGCAGAGGTGCGTAAGTTCCTGACCAGAGCGGCGGCGCGGGCACTGGCCTCAGTCTTGCCGCCCAAAACGCGCAAGGTGAACCGTCTTGCCACGACGTCACCGATGAGACCCACCTGCTCGGGCAGCAGCTTCGCGTCGGCCAGCCAAGGAGCGAGTGCGTCACGAACAGCACCAGGAGCAGCAGGGGCAACCGTGCCCACGGAGAAGACGTGAGGGTCCACCGTGCGGCCCCACGTCGCCAAATTGTCCACGTCGAATGGGAGCTGCGCCTCAGCCATAGCCAGCTGCCGCCTGATGTCCTCCACCGCGGTCCACGTAGCAGCTTGATCAGCGGCAGCACGATCCTGCCGTTGAGGGAGCTCTTGAACTTCACGGGCTTGGATGTCCAGGCGCCGATGCGTCCTCGCCTGCCCTGCCAGGAACGAAGTGCGCAATTCGCCTGCGATGGATTGCAGCTGGATGGCAGACACGTTGGCGGCAGCGCTTGCAGCAGCAGCAGCAGCCGCGGCATCACGCACAGCATCGATGTCCACTTGACCGGCTTCGCGAAGGCGGCGCTCAAGGCCATCATCAACCTGTCGCTTCGCCACGGGTCCTGCGCTTGCAGTGGATCTGCGGCATCACGACCTGCCACAGGCGTCGCAGGGGCAGCAGGGCCGTTAGCATGAGGAGCGTTACGGGCTTCAGCGCCAGGGAAAGTCGGTACCATGTGAGCATCGCGGGCCAGCTGCTCGCGTTTGGCAGGAGACAAGGCGGCCAAGATAGCAGCAGCATCACCAGCGCCGCTGCTCGTACCTGCGCCAAGTTCACGAAGGTGAGCACCAGAGCGACCAGAGTGACGAAGACTATCTTGATCGGACAGAGAGGGTTCTCGACGTCGGTCGCGATCTCCACGAGGGCGTTCGCGATCACGATTTCGATCACCACGAGGAAGGCGGCCACAGCGGCGGGGAAGCGTATCATAGTGCTGTTGTCGGCGGGCTTCAGCGTTGCCACTGCGACTGCGATCGGAGCCACGGGGCTCATCAGAACTGCTGTTGTCAGAATGAGACATCGGATCGGAACACCACTGCCAGGCGCCTCCGCACTGTAGCCACCAGAGACCGCTGTGACTGTGCGTGCGCTGACGAGGGTTGGTCGTCGCGAGAGAACATGGACTGTGGTATGGAAAGCTGTCGTGGCCGCAAGGGCCAGCTGGAAGGTTAGAACCTTCGCGAAAGAGAGACAGACTCTTGGCCCCAGCAGCGCGCAGCTCGACTGGGGTTGCCTGAAACGGAAGCTAGCCTCGGACTGGGGGTATCCACTTCTAGCCCCGAGGACAAAAACATCTTGAGCCAAAATGGCTACGGAGGAGGAGGAGGAGGAGAAGGAGGAGGAGGAGGTGCGCAACTCCTGAGGAAGAAGAGGAGGGAGGTCCTCGCGTCCAAAGCCTGGCACCTACCGACTGGGCAACCCACACAGGGTGTCGAAAAACAGGCCCGCGGCGGCCGCACCAGCACTTAGCCGTGACAGCCGACGCGGCATCGAAACGAATTCGCGCGGCGGAGACGCCTGCGCTTAAGGCGCCTCGGCCCCCAGGCCCCGCGCCCGCTGCGGTCGAGAGAAGCTCGAAGGAAAGAGTTGGAGGCGGTCTCAAAGCAGCGCGTACAGCTCTTCACACCGCGCCTCGAGGAGTAGGAGGGGAGGAGGAGGAGGAGGAGGAGGAGGAGGAGGAGGAGGAGGAGGAGGAGGAGGAGGAGGAGGAGGAGGAGGAGGAGGGGGAGGACGAGGATCTCGAGGATCTCCCTTCTCCGACTCAGAGGGCGGGGCCCGCGGGCCGCATGCCGCAGTGAGGGGCAACGATAAGGGGGGACCAGCTGAAGGGGGGGAACGTCGACCTGGAATCGGCGATCCATCGCCGATGGATCGGCGATGGGCCCCCGATAGCGAGTCCGCACGATCATACGCGGGTTGAGCCATCGGACCCGCATCGGCGATGAATGGGCAATTGCGGGTCGATGCGTTTCTCCCTGAGCCGTTCCACTTTTCTCGTTGCCCCCGGCGCAGGGGGGGCCTCCGTGGACGTCTGCAGCGCGCGGGTCAGCGTGGAGGACGCCACGAGCCCCACGGCGGGGGGTACCGCACGTCCTGCGCGCGAGCCGCGGGAAGCACTGCACGGCGGTCCCAAGAGGACCCCCAGCAGGGAGGGCGTCAAGAGGCAAAAAGCAAGGCTCAGCCAAACATGATGTCCGATTCAGTTGTTTGATGATACCCGCGTTCTCGCCTCTTGGGGTGTCTGGCCATCCAATAGGGTCTGAGAGGCTCCCAGACCGGCCCATCAGGCCCGCAAGATGGCCCCGAGTGGGCCAAAGAGATCTCCAAGACGACCCAGGAAAGCCTCCAAAACAACCCAAACCACGGTGGGCCTGCGCTGACGGGCCGAAAACCGTGACGGACCTCCTGCCGTGTCCTTCCCGGTCCGACCCTGTCCTGCGACTTGGCCCAGCGCACCCGAGGCAGGACACCAGGCCTGCGCTGCGTGGCGGGGACGTATCCCCAACCGCCTGCACATCCGACCTCCCAATGCTCCGGGGGGCGGCGGACGGCGGCACAGCTGGGACCCAGGGGGCCCCGAAAAACATCAAGGGAGATCGGCCCCGCAAGCCAGGAGGCCGATCTGGGGGCTCCTCCGAGTCAACCCTGGAACTAAAGGATTCGTCCGTCCTGCGGGGCTCCTCCAGTGCACTCTTCGTCCTGGATGTACTCGGTTGAGCCTAGGGCGCCCCGGATAGCCCGAACAACACCGTGGAACTAGGTCGGGAATCCTTCCCCGCCGCGGATGGGCAGAACCGAACCGCAAAATGGATCGGATCGGGAAGTACACGGCGGGAAACCTTTCACTGTCCTTGGCCTCTCGGGGCCTTCGCCAGGCCACAGGACCGTCACGAAGACGGCTCGGGGGTGGAAAGCCGGTCCACTGGAAGGGGTTTATACCTTGAGGGTCCCAACACAGTGCGTGACAGACCGCGCGGTGATCTCGAACGGTGTTAGGACCTCGGAGGCCCAAATCGCCCGAGACATCCTCGGAGAACGACCCAAGTCCCAAAACCGTGCGGTCACCGCGCGGCTTCCGTGGCCCCGAAGACACCTGGGGGCCCTCGCTGTACCAAAAATCACGCCGGAGGATGTCTGGGGAGGCGCCACGTCGGGAGACACCACGGCGGGCCCGAGCCGAGTCGACTCCCGGGACCAGGTCGGATCGAAACAGCAGCGATGATCGCATCGTGCCCAGATCGGCGCAGAGCCGGACCAGAGCCAGACATCGAGACCAGATCCAGCGGACCGGGCTCGGGCCCCGCAGCCCAGAGAGGGAGTCGGTTCGAGCCGGATCGGATCGGCTCCAGACATCCTCTGACCCAGACCCCCCCGCCGTCATGATTTTTTCACGGCGTCGACCCCCCGAGGTCTCGAACCCTGCCCCGGGACCGGTTTCTCGTCCCGAGTCGTTGCTTGACGGTCCCCAGGCCCGCTGAGGGCCCCCAGCGGCTGAAAACTGTCAAAAACCTCACGTCGTGATTTTTTCACGATGCGAGGGGGTCTTGGGAGATGGCTCTTCCAGTCCGCGGTCCCAGAGCTCCACCGACCCCTTCTCCGGGGGGTGTTTCTGCGCCCTGGATCACTTTGTGGTGGCCCAGGGGCTCGACAACGAGCCCCCGGGGGCCGAAACCGAGGAGCAGGAACGCCCGAACCGAAGACGAATCGCATCGTCGGAGATCTGGGGATCGAGGCCGGGAGCGACGCTCAGGGCTCGGACCTCGCATCCACGGTCGGGCCCGCGAGCAGCAGCACTCGCCATCGCTCGGACGGCCCTCCCCCGTGGATGTTGTTCGGTTTCGCGCGTGTTTTTTGTTGGGCCAGGTAATCCAGGATGCTCCTCGCTGGTCCTCGCTTTGGCGGCGAGCGAGGGGGGGAGTGAGAAGGAGAAGGCCTTCTCACAAGGCTCGGAAGCCCCCGGGCCTTCCGAGAAGTCTTCGCAGCCTCCCTCGAAGACACCGACCACCTCTCAGAAGGCGCGAGGGCTTCTGAGAAGTCCCGCCGCCTTCTGAGAAGGCCTTCTCCTTTTCACTTCCCCCCCATGGCTCGCCGCAGATCGCTGGTCCCCGCCTAAAGAAAACGCACACGCCCGAGCGATGCCCAGAGCACTGCAAATGGCGGGAGGCGTCGCGGCGGGAGCGGACGCACCGCGAGGCCTCCGCGGAGGCAGCGCGCCACACGACCCGTCGAGATCCAGACTTCTTCTGGCGGCCTGCTGTTTTGTTTGACTGTTGTTACACTGTTGTTGTTCTTTCTGGGCAGTCCTCCCTCTTCTCCTTCTCTTCTTCCCTCTCCTCCTCCTCCTCCTCCTTTTCCTCCTCGTCCACTTCTCCCTCCTCTTCCTCCTCCTGCTCCTCTTCCTCCTCCCCCTCCCCATGTTCATACTCCCCCACCGTCCTGCTGCGCCTCCTCCTGCGCGCGCTCGCTCGGTCCAGCGCCGACCCAAGACATCCGCGCGAAACTCCGAGAAGTGTCGCATGGATCCGAAATGCTTTCTTCTTCGACTGTTAGATCCGCCGACATGGCCTCGCGCCTGGTTGCGCCGACCTGCGCGGAACCGCTGCCGTTTTGCTTCCGCCGCC